TCAATTTTTTCCAGGTACTTCAAGATTATCATTCAAACTAAACTTTTTAGTGCTATCTGAAAACGGCTTACGATAATGTAACCTAGAATTATGATCTTCCCCATCTGAGAGTGAACCATTTAAGTTGAGGGAGGAAAAAGACTCTTGCTTTATAACAAAGGATTCGCAGTTCCGTTTGTTTTAATGGCTTTCAACCAGCCTTGAGCTTGACTTCTTCTTGCGAGAATTCATTGTAATACCTGCAAGTCAGGATAAAGAAACTCCAAATTAGTGATACTGCATAGGGTTTCAAACTTCAATCTACCAATATTGATGAGAACTTAGAAGTCACTAGTTCCATCTTCTTGAATTATTGTTGGGAGCTAGGATAAGCAAAAGATTCTTCTCCTCCAAATATTGTTTAGAACTGTAAGATTCAGAAACGGTCATCTATTTTACGTCTAGGACAGAATAACAAGTGCTCATTTCTTAGTGGACACAGGAGCGAGAGTAAGCGTTGTAGCTCCCGTGAGTACTGAAAGACCAAATAATAATACGGCACTAACTCTCAAAGCAGCAAATAAATCCGACTTAAAAACATACAGGAATTAACTTTAAATTTCTGTCAAAATACTTTATTTTGGTGGTAATTCGTCATAGCAGATATATTCGTGCCTATAATCGGTATCGATTTCTTGAAGAATTTCAACTTGCTAGCAGATTCCCGACTAAATCGGCTCCTGAACGCAGACCGCTTAGTAGTGATAAAAGGAGTAAAGATTGGCCGTTTATCTATGAATTCAGTAGTGTCAAAAGACAAAACTGATCCATCTGAGTCGCTCTTTATTGGGTATGCCGATTTGTCAAGGGTTCCATACGACAGTAGTGATCTTAAACATACCCTACAGCACCATGTCGTAATGAAAAGTCGACCTACGAACGCAATACCAAGAAAGTGAAATAAGAATTCAAAGAGTTGATGAAACTTGGTATTAAAGGGCCACCTAGCAGTCCCTAGGCATCTCAGTTGCACATGGTTTCCAAAAGGAATGGAGAAATCAAGCAATGTGTAGATCACAGAGCCCTTAACAAACTATGGCAGACGGATACCCGGTACCAGACTTCCATGACATCACAACCCATTTAGAAGATGCCATGATCTATTCAGACATAGATCTTTGTAGGGCTTATTACCACACTCCCGTGACACCGAAAGATATACCGAAAGCGGCCATAATTACTCCTTTAGGGTTATTTGAATTTTTCATAATGACATTCGGATTAACTAATGCAGCTCAAACACTTCAGTAATTCACTGACCAGGTCATTAGACGTTTGACAGTAGTATATGCATATATGGATGATATACTAGTAACTAGCTCTACAGTGGAAGAACATCTATAAAACCTGCGGCAGTTGTTCAACAACACGATGTCACTTTTAACGTTGAAAAGTGTGAATTTGGATAGGAATTATTGCAACTCCTGTGTCATCTAAAAATTTCTTAGGGTATCAATTCAGTTCCGACAGAGGTCGGAGCTGATCTTAATTATCTGATACCCGATTCATAGAGAAAATCGAGACGATTCTTGAGTCTAATAAATTATTATAGACGATTTATCCCAAACTGCGCTGCAATATTACAACCACTGACGGATGCTTTGCGAGGACATGCTTGAGCATTCCATCTATCTACAGGAGATTGACAGGTGTTCAAGAAAGCTAATCGAGCGCTAAATGAGATGATGTTAGTGCTACTTTAGATGAAAGTGCCGCTATCCGTCATGACTGACGCACTGAACAGCAGTAGGAGTCGTACTGTAGCAGTCAGCAAATTGCATATGGGAACCGCTCTCATTTTTCGCAAAGAGAGTAAATCCTATTCATTACAGGTATAGTACGTTCGGAGGAGAACCGTAAGCGATCTACTTGACGATAAAACATTTCTGACGTATGAAAGAGGATACCATTTTCACAGTCTATACAGGCCATGAACCCCTCATGAAAGCATTAAACGCCAAGCAGGAGGGAAATTCGACAACTGGCATTTCGTTTCCCGATTTGCATCTAGCATACAGTATATCAAAGACATTAATAAAGAATTGGTAGATGCATTATTCAGATCGATGCTAAACGCTTACATCTAATCTGAAACCGATTATCGAAAATTGGCAGCATTGCCAAATTTGAATTTTGAGCTGAGCAGACTGAGATCAAACGAAACAATCCCTTTGATGCTCAAAGAAACTCATATGGAATAAGCAAGTATCACGAGTGATATTTCTACGGGCCGACCACGACCACTTGCTCCGAAGCCACTGAAATGGAAAGTTTTCGAAACTGTGCATAGTATATCTCATCCTGGAATAAAGGCCACAATCAAACTAGTCAGAGGGCTTTTTGTATGCCCAAATATGAACCGAGATACTGGTGACTGGATCAAGCTTGTATAAAATCCCGGGACTTTGAACTGCATCATTACACTGGTTCCGAATTATATCTCTTTCGGCACCCTGATAGCAAGTTTGGTCATACACATATAGATATTGTGGGACCACTGCCGATCTCAAATGACCATAGTTATATTTTTACCTGAGTCGACAGACTCAGACGATGGCCTGTAGCAGTACCCATAAAAGAAACTTCAGCTGGATCTGTAGTCGGAACCCTTAGTGAAGCATTTGGGTTTCTTATCATGGAGTGCCTGCTAACATTACAACCGATAGAGGAGCTCGATTCGAAAGTCGCCTCCCCCGAAAACTTACAGAGCTCCTCAGAATCAAACGTATTCGCACGACATCCTACCATCTAATGGCTAATGGCATGGTAGAGAGATTATATCAACAACTTAAAGAATATCTTACCACTGTTATTAGCAATAATGATTGTACGGGCAATTTCCCATCAGTCATGTTTAAGGTCAACAATTAAACAAGATATATGATATTGTCTTGCAGAGTTTGTTTATGGGACTATTCTACCTCTATCAGGAGAAATTTTTACCTCAGGTGAAAGTGCTCCAACTGATATAGCCAACTATGTACAACTTCTAACGTAGCATATGAATGACTTTCGAATAACGCTTCCAAGGGAACATTAGCAACGGATGTACATAACAAAACAACTGGGCCAGGGTACCCATATCTTGATCAAAAAGTTAATGTACAGCGTCCCTTACAACCGATTTCTTATAGTCCATTTATAGTGATTAGTAGAAATGATAAGACCATGACATTAAATATAGCCGATAAAACAGATGTAATTAGCATCAACCGAGTCAAACCATCTTTCATTGAGGCCAGCGACCAGCCATTAAATACATATCCTTCGAAAATAGTCGAATTATCCAAACGTCAGTTCCAATCATCAAGGTCATCGACGGAGAGAAACGAAGAGAACCAATTAACGACAGTCCAGTCGGAATAATATTAGTTGAATTTTTGGGGCGTAAGAATCCTAATTTTAAGTAGCTTAGGTGTGTTTTGATATAATAAGAATAGAATATATATTGGAATGTGAAAACAAAAAAGTATTATGAAATATAAGATTTTGTGAATATTTGTAAGGTTATCAACTTTACCAGATCACATCGCGCTCTTCGATCCGAATATCAGAAATATATAGAGTCAGACTACACTTTTGTCCGTAACGACTTTCAGATCAGGGGAACCCAAAGTCAAGGCCATCTGGAGTTACAGCCGGTCCCAAGCACGGATAAAGGAGGATGGCTGGACATGGACATAGCGACCGCTCCCCATAGAAAACCAACTCGCTAAAATATTCTAACCTAAACAAATAACTCAAACCATTTAATATCTGCGTTGATTTAGAGGAGCTTTGACGTCTTATGATGAAAGCTGAGCTCCTTCGGAAGTCGTGAGGCCGATGCCAATTTTCACAGCCAGAGCAACCGCTGATATAGGTACATTGACTTTTCGGAAAATATGGGAGACTGGAAGAGTCATCAAAGTTGCTTCAGAAATGATAAGTTACAGCTTGGTGGTACTTGTGATCAGTGTGTAGTGACTCCACTTTCATGAAGAGAACGTGATTGGAGGCGATTCTCAGACATTTTATCCCATTGAGGGAGGGACGATTGAGGACTTAATTAGCACGTCAACCCCTGAGTGATGCTAAGCCAAGTCATCAACTCACGCACCTGCATTCTTCGGCAGGACTTACGACAGCTGACTCTGAGATAGCGAAAGAATAGTTGTTCGAATCCCTACCAGCTCATATTCAGCCTAAGATCACAGCTTTGCTCAAAGACACACCACTTAAGCAGGTTGCCTAATAGCAGACAACATTTTAGCGAGGACTAGCACGCGAGACTGCTACATAGTCGCCTGAACGTCGCATTCGAATGCAGACCTTGATGCTAGTCGCCCTCCAGCTCGAATAGACCGGTTGTCCTTCATTCGTAGCCGTCTGAAGTTTCGAGATCGCTCTCAGAACCTCACATCACTGTTGCTGGATCAAGATCACGCAGGGCTGTAAGTACTCCTCCCAAGTGGGCATGTTCCACGCCACGCCAAAAGGCTGTTTCGGAGGCGAGTACGGGTTTATACTAGTTCCACCGTACCTTCAGGTTTGGTGCCCGCCATTTTTGAGCCCCCTGCTCATACAAGGCGGAAAACTTCTGAGTCGGAGAGTAAATGCGGCAGTACTCACCGGCCCCTCACCTCAGGTTAGCCAATTATTTTACGTGCACGATATCCGCGCTAACGCTAGGCACCTAGTAGACACAGGTAACCAAGTTTCTTTCGCACCGATTGGTAGCAGCAAGTCCTGAGGTACGATGCCTCGACTACGCACTGCGAATGGCTTTTTCATTCCTACCCATGGTATACGACAGCTGACGGTCAACCTGTGCGACCGACGACAGTATTTGTGAACGTTCATCATTGACGATGTTCCCACAGCCGTACTCGCTAGTCGATTCACGTAGGCTGTGGTTAATCGACACTTCACCAAAGAGCAAATTCATTGGCCATGGAGCTGAAAAAAATCACAGGTGTTTTTCATTCATTCTTCACATTAAAACCAACATTGTCACCGGGCAAGGCTTCTGTAAGGGCTTCGTGATGCATTTCGACGGACTTGACTTCTGTTGTTAATCCTTGGGGAGCAAATGTCACGACCATACCAGGTTTGATGATACCAGTCTCGACGCGACCAACAGGAACCGTACCAATACCACCTATCTTGTAGACATCTTGCAACGGGATTCGGAGAGGTTTGTTTGTCGGTCTAGATGGAGGTTCCATTTTATCAATTGCATCTATAAGTGTATGACCCGAGTCACTTAAGCTCTTCCCCTCCTTCGTTTTTGCAATGTCCCAACCTTTAAACCATGGCATGTTGGGACTCTTTTCTATCATATTATCACCGTGCCACCCAGAGATAGGTACAAACGGGACCGCAGCAGGATTAAACCCGACTTTCTTGATGTAGCCAGATACTTCTTTGATAATTTCCTTGTATCGAGTCTCAGAGAAGGGAGGTTCAGTGGAGTCCATCTTATTGATTGCGACAATTAACTGTTTGACACCCAGCGTGTATGCCAACAGAGCGTGTTCTCTAGTTTGGCCATTCTGGGAAATACCGGCCTCAAACTCACCAACACCAGCAGCAACAATCAGTATAGCAAAATCAGCTTGACTTGTTCCTGTGATCATATTCTTGATGAAATCCCGATGACCAGGTGCATCAATAACTGTGACACTGTACTTAACGGTTTCAAACCTCCACAAGGCAATGTCGATAGTGATACCACGCTCACGTTCAGCTTTCAGTTTATCCAACACCCAAGCATATTTAAAAGAACCCTTACTCATCTCAGCAGCCTCTTTCTCGAATTTATCAATAGTACGTTCATTGACATACTCCACGCATGTAATCATATCTCAGTCGCTCTTGAAGATATTCATAAAACTGATATCACGACTCCTTTCGGTCTGTTTGAGTTCCTACAAAGGCCATTTGGATTACGTAATGCTGCTCAAACTTTTCAAAAGTTTATCGATAGCATAGTAGGAGACTTTGCTTTTGTTCACGTTTATATTAATGACCTGCTAATCTGATCATCAAACGTCGATGAACACTATCAGCCCCTAACACTCTTATTTCAACGCCTTTCGGATAATGGAATAATAGCCAACCAAAACAAGTTTGAACTTGGCAAGCCAGAAATAAAATTCTTGTGTTACATCATTAAGCAAGAGGGTACTTTATCTGGTGAAAACAAAGTACGTGCAATCATGGAGTAAGCTGTACCGTCCTCACCCAAGGACCTGAAATTATTCTCGGTTTGGTTAGCTTCTACCGCCGTTTCATTACACACGCGGCCATTAATCGACTTATTTCAGGGTAATCCACGCAAATTAGAATTGAACGATGCCGCGCATGCTGCATTTTCTGAGATCGAAACAGCTTTACCCCCTCGCTCATCGTGACCCATCAGCCACGCTTAGTACGGTGGTTGATGTATCGGATTTTGTTAAAGGGGCCGTTATACAAAAGAATGTTTCCGGAAGTTGGCAACCTCTCTAATATTTCTCACGACACCTCACTGCAACGAAGACGAGATATAGCGCTCTTGGTCTAGAACTGCTGGCAGCCTACTGTGCCATCAAACATTTCCGGAACTCAGTAGAAGGCCGCGACTTTGTCCTCTTCACCGACCATAAGCCTCTAACGTATGCTCTGCATACCAAGTCTGACCGCTACTCACCATGAGAGTGCAGACATTTGGATCACATCTCTCAGTTCACAAAAAACCTTCTTCATGTTAAAGGCGAGTTGAACTATGTTGCCAACGCTTTGTTACGTATTCAAGTAAGTGCATTTACTTTACCGGTGTTCGATCTTCCTGCTATGTCCGCCGCACAAGTAGACGATCCGTCTAGCTACTAGCTCGTGTGTGATACTTCTAATGGTAGTCCTCGACATATCTTACCCTCTCCTTATCGTCGTCTCTCCGTCGATGTCCTCCATGGATTGTCTCATCCAGGTATTGCAGCCACATTATGTCTCATCGCTGAACGATACGTCTGGCCCTACATGAATAATAATGTCCGTATGTGGTTAAATCAATGCTTACAGTGTCAACGATCAAAAGTGCATAGGCACGTAGTTGCCCCCATTGTCACGTACGCTTGGCCTGATGCTCGCATCGATTACGTTCATATTGACATAGTAGGACCATCGCCACCATCGCATGGGTGTGATCACATCGATCGTTTCATAGGATGGCCCGAAAATATTCCCATCACTTCTATTGCGGCGGAAACAGTTTCTCACCGCTTCGTAGAACGATAGATGGCGCTGTACTGTTGTCCCTCAACTGTCACAACTGATCGAGGACAATAGTTCCAGTGTTCTTCTCGCTAGCCCGGCTGCTTGGTACGGAGCGCATACGCACAACTGCCTACCACACGGCTTCGAATGGTGTAGATGAACGGGTTTCATCTCCAACTTAAAAATGCTCTTCAAACACACGAAAACAACAATTGGTACGAAACCTTACCGCTCGTCCTCTTAGGTATCCGAACGAGCTTAAAGGTAGATATTCAGTGTTTTGCGGCTGAATTAGTATATGGCACGACATCGCGTCTGCCTGGGGAAATTTTCACACCATGGACCATTGTCTAAATACATATGACCACTGCCTCCGGTGTCAACTGAAATACAGCATCGACAGGTTGCTCTACCTCGAGAGTTATCGACCTGTTCACATGTTTTCATACGAGTAGTTTCGGTAAGCAAACCTTTGCAACAGCCCTATGAAGGAGTTTTTCACGTGATTTCTTGTCATGAAAGACCTTCAAGGTTGCTCGGCATGGCCGCGTTGAGATCGTCTGCATTGATCGTCTCAAGCCAGCAAACGTCGATGACAGTTCCCTACCTGATATTTTGAGACTCTCTGCTACACCCATCAAACCTAATAGCGGGATCCCTACATCTACTTCGGACCCCACGTTAGATAAATCAGAGATCACATTTTCACGTCTCAGTCAACTGCACCATCTATGGATGAGACTACTGTCTCAAGTTCAGATCACCAGACCACTCCTGTCTTGACATCGGATGAGACTGCAGGCTCAGGAGGTACGTACGCGACTACCGCCCCACGTTCCGCCGCCGGGTACGCCACTCTGTACGCTTTTGCTACTAATCCCTCAATCGGCAGCGGATACGATATAGGACTTTAACCTCATACTACATGCATGCTAAACCTTTCCCTTTTCCTTGTTCCTTTTTATCCTGAGCCGACGCCTCCGACCATCGCCCTGTTGACACCATCGACTTCAGCCAATCTTGGCGAAAGCTGGCCCGATCACCAACGATCTTATCAATACGCTCAGTCGATGTTTTGGTCCCTAATATGTCTGGCACACGTATGGTTTCGAATTTGGTAGTTATAGCCGTTTCTGGTTCCTTCGCTCAATCTGGTCCCGTCATTCACCTGTAGGGTTTCTGGTCCGAACCCCTTCGAGCGCAATTTTCAAACTCAGGATACGAGTCACGCTGGTGTGGTGTGCTAACTGAAGCAACAAACATGCCATGTTATCACTGGTATCCTTCATAATAAACCTTCAGTGACAACTCGAGCACCATCGATCGCTTCCTGTTCGTCAACCCTTCCGTCCGACTATCACACATTTGCCCATCAGTCATCCGAACAAAATAACTACGTAATGACAGTGTATACCCTTTCTAGCGGAGCGCTGCTGTAGTAAATCCAAGTTTATGAAGAGAGCTAGAGCAGTTTAATATAAACGTTCATTATTGTAACCCATTTTTCCAGTGATTGTTTTACTGTGCTCGTTTGTTCTTTCCTTCCTTCACTGACTTTGGGCTTGCTAACGTAAGCTTAGTAGTCTCGCTTGTATATTTTGAACCGATCTTGTTATTATTTCGACACCATGAGATTTTCAACGAATATACCCTAACTCCAATAGCAGCTGGTGTTCTGATTTCTGCCTCTGACGGGATTCAACGCGGTAATTGGCGTAATGTAGATTCAGTTCACTATAAGTGGAACACATAGGACTGTGGTTGGACAAAAAAGACTAGCTTCAGGAGAGCCGTTGTTAAACTCCGGATATGGAGAACGAAACGCCCCACATATGGATGCTTTGATGACCCTGAGTCCATTAGATCCCCATCCTATTGGTGCTTTTTGTACTTCTTGGACAGCATCAGTGGAACTCCTCGTATATGTGAGGCCTTGACTTCTTCATGTCCGGAGTTTAACAACAGCTCTCCTGAAGCTATTGTTTTTTGTCCAGACTGAGTGCAATGTGTTTCCTTGATATCAATTAATACCAGGTTGTAACTTATCATTTCTGAAGCAACTTTGATAACTCTTCCAGTCTCCCATATTTTCCGAAAAGTCAATGTACATATATTAGAGGTTGCTCTGGTTGTGAAAATTGGCATCGGCCTCATGACTTCCGAAGGAGCTCGGCCTTCATCATAAGACATCAAAGCTCCTCTAAATGAACGCAGATATTAAATGGTTTGAATTATTTGTTTAGGTTAGAATATTTTAGCGAGTTGGTTTTCTATGGGGAGCGGTCGCTATGTCCATGTCCAGCCGACCTCCTTTGTCCGGACTTGAGGTGAAATTATGAACATCATCCTGATAAAAAATTTTGACCACATGCAGGTAAGTATTCAGCTCTTCTGTTTAGTTATACTCAAAATCAGTCCAGTGTCTCAGTTCATCTGATTGGTTACAATTCGAAGGATTGCAAAACAACGTGATGGTTTTGTATCATATGTGACACTTGTCCTCTGATAGCTAAACCAGATCATAGTGGTGGTAAGTTAGGGCGGTATAGCCGATCAACCAAACAAGATAGAAAACATGCGACGCCAATCAGTTGCAATGCATATGACAGTTATTTATTGACAATATTGACAATATCATTTTGGCCAGTTAACTACCTGACATTTTCCAATTCATGTTTGTTCTACTCATGAGTAGTCTGACAAACATGAAAACAAAATTAATTCAACTGAACTGAAATAAACATTGAGGACTGTTACAAATAATTCGTCTGTATTGTTCGATAAATAATAAACCTCTTCACTCATATCATCCATCTTTGAGCGGTTGATCATGCTTACTAAATGTTACCGACGTAGTGAATGGCAAATGAGAAATGGAACTTCCACCAATTTTCATCTTCTGAAACTATCTGATGCATAATTAAGTCAAAATATCTACAATCTCACATGGTATAATCTCACAGCCCACCCTCGAATTAAATTTTCAATATGGAGTTTCTTTTAAAATTTACTGATCAAGTTCCCTGAAATGATTTCATTTCAACGGTTTGTGTTCATGAAAGAAGACTTTGAAATAGTTCATAGATAGATCGACTGGACTCTATTTATTTCTCGTAATGCACTTATCACTTAATGTTTCATTGAATTTAGTTCACATGTATAGTAAATAATAACACTGTACGATGGATCATGACTGTCAATAATATTTTGTGACTACAATCATTTTTAATCAAGTGACAATCATTGAAGTGTTTGTCATCATCGTGACTAATGTTGCTACTGGATAAAAGCAAGTGAAAAATTTGCGGTTCACACAGTCAGATTAGTAAACGTTTCTCAGTGAAGAATTTGGTGTTACATTAGAATAATACCTAAATATGAATTCATTTTTATTCCGTCAGTTTTCTTTAAATTACGTGTTATTGAGAATAAAATTAATGGTGACTGTGTATCATGAAAGTCATCGATTGTGGCTAGCCTAGAAGATCTCAGTACTGATTCGCTTCTCTAATAGTTGTCGATATGCAATTGTAACTTACTCTTAATAGATGTTAAATATCGGATAAAAATCTAGATTTTTTGGTATACTTCCCCTATAAATTCATACATTACACGTAATGAATAAAATTTTAAACGACTTTGACGTATGTGCTGACGGACTGGTTGCATAGATATGCCAATATTTACCTGGTCACTTTACAGTTAATTAGAATGGAGAATTATGTTTTTCTAAAATTGGATGAAGATTGGGTTTTAACTTATGAATCCTGGGCAACACATAGAGTCATGGTGTGTTCGATCGTATGGGCTTAAGCAAATCATGATTGATTGAAGCTATTATCTCTTTGCATTTTAGTTAGTCGAAATAATTAACTAATAACTCCTCTGTCTTCTGATGTATGTCCGCATTGTCAACAGGTTACTGAATTTAACACGAATCGTTGAACAGTGAGTTCATTTAACCAATGTGATCTATTCCAGGCTTTTACTAACTAACCGTACATTTTTTGTTTGCCTTACTTATGAACAGTGTGTTACTTTTGACAAGCTTTCTCCAAACCCACCGATATTAATTGGGCAGTAGACATTTCGTGGAAGACTTGAGAGAGAGAGAGATACTAAAGAATAGACTTTTCAGATCACTAAAAAGATCATTCTATTCAGTCAAACTTCATGTTGTATTCTCTTATTAGCACTCGATTAAAAATTATGTTAGGGTTAACCTCTCTCTTTCGACAAAGCGAATATGCGTTTATCAGTTTGCTGGCTCTCATGGAGTAGGTCATATCGGTCAAACGAAGCGAGCTCTCTCAAAATGCACCTCCAATCTACGTTGTTCTATCTGACTGCGTAAAGGAATGCTACACAAGTGAGTCGACATCTCAATCTTATGAAAGCTCGTTAATTCTGGTCACGTTAATTCGCTAGTATTTTCCTTCAAAATCTTCCATATGGTTTGAAGAGAATACTAATCAAAGACCACATGCAGTAAATTTTCTTGCTCCGCAGCAGTTCAAGTCTAATATTGATGTTCAAAAACAGCATGCCTACCCAATCTGTCATTTCACCCTAGTTTTTTAACCTTCCGTTCTGTCTTTCGTAAACCACCAATTTTTTCGAATCCTGTGAAATTTTTCCTTCACAGTGATGACTTAGCTAGTAAATTAATTTATTCTACACATTTATCAAGTGGCCAGTTATCAATCGCCCATGAACCACCTTCGCCCTAACAGTTTTCATTTACAGCTGAATTACTAAATAACTTCACATAGAAATTTGATTTTTATGAATAGATTATGATACGATACTATTTCAACGTTTTAAGATTACATGAGACATCTTTCATTGATTAGGGACGGATAAATTCAATAGTTAAAACTGTCAATTATTGTTGACAGTTTTTTATTCTGATACAACATCTGTCTTTCTTATCATCAACTACTTATTGAAGTAAATGAGTTAACCATAAATACGAGTGTATAGGTTGAGTAAATAGTCAAAAAGGAAACTTTCTTTTCTGAGTTGTCCCGTATTCTTCTGTAATGACAGATGTTTTGAATTTTATGCCTTTTTCATTAAGATTATTCTTATATCTACTGCCATAGAATAATGATTTCGTCGTTCTATACGAAATCGATACTTGAAACATCTGAATTGATTAGGTTAGTTGCCTAGAATTTTCTAAATGTATTCACTCTATTTCTCCATAATTTCACTGAAACAATGGACCTATCTAATTTAGACAACCATCACCGTCTCAACTAATTATTTGACCTCTCATCACTGGTTATTGTTGACCTGGGATTCCGGAAAAGAATGCGGGAACTTCTATCTTACTCACGGATTTCTGGCTTCTAGACTACTGAGCTGGTATTGTGTACAATTGCAACTTGAATCAATCCACGATAATGTGTGACTTCGATCGGTTCGTTCTAACAATAAAGTTCATAATATTCACAACCAAATTCTGAAAGTCACCATTCACTTACTAGTCATTAATTTAGAGAGAAAATTTCCAAAGCTCTAGTTGGAAACCGTGATCAATGAAGTCCAGCCATGTCAGATATGAGAGTGTTAGCTACCACAAAACAATCGAAGATGGCTATGTATCATCGTGCACTAATGTGAATAAGACTTGTACCCTAAAAGAAACTGGTTCAGGGATTTGTGGCTTAAGAGTTCATGAACTAATTAGTTCATTGAACTACTGTGTTCTATGCGGTTATCAATTTGCACTGCTAAGAAATCATTCTCTGTCTATCACACTGAAAATCATGCCAAATAAACTGTGATCACTGAATATTTACTAATCTGCAAGAAGTGACTAAAAACCAACTGTATTCTTCTATTTATTGATTTATTATGACCCATGTCATTGAAAGAATCATAGAAAAAAATACCTAAATTAATCAATTTTTCACAAAATCTATGAATCCAGTACTTTCTCTTGAGTGTTCGTAATAAACAAGAAAACATTATTCTTGATGATTTCAATCAAATGTGGAATTAGGTATGTAAATGTACTCGTACTTTGGAATTACTGCCAAATGGATGCAGTCGAACCTCAATGTTAACATCTCAAATAGGGATAAACCTGGGAGCTATAGCTTTAAACTTTGCTGTGTATTCTATGTGGATTCTAAGCTAAAATATAATTTCCTGTGGTCAGTTACCATTGTTAAATTTCCTCTGTAAAAGATTTCTCTTTTTTTAATGTCATTGATATGTATTTTCAATAAATTTAAATTTTAGCATTCTTTTTCGGTTGAATATCCTAAATTCTTGTTATTTGTTATATAGTCGATTTGAAAACCTTTATAATAATATTCACAGTTAGTGAAACGACAATTGATAATTGAAGTGTCAATGATCATTGTCAGATATACTTATAAATCTACATTTGTTACTTTTATGCACTTACAAGTGTGAAATATTTGAAAAATGAAAAGACTGATTCCTATGACATACTGTCTACGCAAAATACTTCGTATTCGTTGGCCAGACATCATCAGCAACAACCTACTGTGGGAGAAAACAAACCAGATTCCAGTGGAGGAGGAAATCAGGAAGAAGCGGTGGAAGTGGATAGGACACATTTTGCGGAAAGCACCTAACTGCGTCACGAGACAAGCCCTCACATGTAACCCTCAAGGCAAAAGGAAAAGAGGAAGGCCAAGGAACACACTACACCGAGAAATAGAGAAAGATATGAGAAGAATGAACAAAAATTGGACAGAATTTGAAAGGGAAGCCGAGGACAGAGTTGGCTGGAGAAAAGTGGTGGGCGGCCTATGCTCCATTGGGGGTAACAGGCGTAAGTAGGTAAGTAAGTAAGTAAGTATGACATACTCTCTTCGATGACAGTTCGTAAAATGAGTTTCTTTTTAAAGGTAAACGTTCAAAATAATGTAACATATCAGATTTTGAGTTGAGTAATATCTACTAATCGATCATTTATTGAAAGGCTAATTAGATAAGTGTATTTTACATTGATTGACACAGATGATTCAATAAAAACAAGCGTGATAATATTCTATGTGATGTAGTATTATACTAGGGAAAAATTTCACCTAAATTGAAGTGTATGAATTTAAACTAGAGAATTTAATGTATCGAATGGTTTAAAACAACCAAATACTACTGTTCAATCTTAAATGATAAGATAAAACATGGCTACTTATTAGATAAAAGGAATTGGTGATGTAACATATGTATATATATATAGATCCAAAATATGTCATATTGTATATCTATTGACAAAACATAACACTATCACGTAATATTGAACAAACATAATAGGAAGTAAAGATTTATTGATTAGCCCTAGTTCTTACATTTCATAGATTCTTTCCAATATGTAATAAACGTTTAAATGCAGCAGCATATTCTTTGTTACAAAATGCATAAATTATCGGATTACACATACTATTCAAGTAACCTGGCCAAGCAGTTGCCATTGTAATTCGTTCTGATAGTACACATTGATATACTCCTTCTACTAGATGAAAAGTAGCAAATGGAAGCCAACATAAAATAAAACAACACACTACAGTTCCAACTGTTTTGACAGTTTTCTGTTCTCTTTTAAATACCAGATATTCACGTCGATTAAAAGTTATTTTAGTGTTTGTGTTTGGATGCTTTGACTTGCAGTTTACATTTTGTTTATTCTGACTGATTAATGTGTGTTGATGTTCTTGTTGTTGACCATTCTGTGGATCGTTCACAGAAGTGTCAACTGTCTTGTCAAGTGATTGAAAGAAATCGGTGTTGAATTTATCTTCATTTGTGTCAGTAGTTGGTGAATTACACGTTTCCGTGTTGTTTGTGGCATCATGAACCACCGATGTAGAGAAATGATTAAGATCAGATTTCGTCGTTCTATGCAACATTGGTACTCGGGACATCTGAATATATTGTGTGTGTTGTCTAGACGTATCTGAATCTTCTCGCTCCATTTGTTCAGAAACTTCATTAAATCGTAAACTGGTGGTACTTAGAACATGAGATTGATTCAAATCACACTCTTTGTCATCTTCGTGTCTTTTATGTAGAATACATGGAACAGACAAGTCAGACTGTCTGTAGTTTGATAAAAACGACCGACTTTGATTGCAGCTTACTGAACTGAAATAACTTTTGATACGTACAAAGTGGTGGTTATATATTTTGCTAGGACTGAACAACAATTTGAACGAACCATATCGATGTTCTTTTGGATCAAGTGGAAACTTACCAAATTCGAATTCTTTCGAACGACGACGAATCACCCAAAATATACGAATATAAATGAAAGTGACTAGTAAAAATGGAATGAAGAAGGCTGCGATTCCTGTGAAAAATCTATATCCTATATCACTTCTTACATAACATTGTCCTACACCCGTATGATGCTGATAGCCGAATATCGGTGGGATCATGAATAGCAATGATACTGTCCAAGCACCTCCAATCATGGCTAATGCAGTTTGACGTGTTCGTTTTCTGTAATATTTCATTGGATAATTTATGGCAATATATCGATCCACAGATATACAACACAAGTTTAATATGGAAGCAGAACACAGTAACACGTTAAGTGAAAGCCAGTATATACATAGTTCATGTGATTCATAAGGCCAATATCCATATACTTGACGCATGATAGAAAGTGGTAGAACTAGGACTGCGACAAGTAGATCAGCTAGAGCAAGTGATACAATGTATAGATCAGTAATACGTCTTAATCTCTTGCTTGTTGCAACAGCTAAAATCACTAGAAGATTACCACAAAATATAAAGATGGCAGATAGAATTTGTAGAGCGATAATCATCACATTCAATGCATATCTCCACTGACTAAACATTTCACCTTCCATATTTGTTCGATTAACAATATCACCCATACAATTTGGATTAATGTTGAATAGTGTACAAGAGTCATTTTCCTGACATGCTTCTATGTTGTATTGATTTGTGGAGAAACTATTGTTATCATTTAAAAGTGCTTGGTTCATGTTGATTTTTTATTTGAGTCAGCACTGTCTGAAACTAATAACAAAATCAGAGATCAGCTGTTGTAAAATGTTGTCTTTCTTTATATGATATTATTCATCTTAAATTAATGTACTCATTCACAAAATTATCATGATTTACGTTTTTTTATTTGAATGTTATAATCAGACTGTTTTTTTTCTTTCTACCAATCAAAGTGTCTCGCTCATAGTAACAAAAATTTCTAGCCAATCCACTTATTTAGAATTTATTGTAAACAAAACAAAACTAAACAAAACATGTATCAAGTAATTTTTAAGCAGAGTTTTTCAATCACTTAGGTATATACAAAAACAAATATAAGGACAGATGGGATCACACCCTAAAACAATTTATTATCTATAGAATAATGTTGTTGATTATTGAAACCTACGTGCAACTATAATGTGTTCACTTGGAAATATTCTCAAAAGTTGAAATAAATGCAATTCCACACATAAAACTAATCTAAAATTCAATGATTTTTACCAGTAAAACAAAACAAAAACAGATTGAACATTACTCTATGCAGAATAGATGTGACTTCATTTTGTAATATATATGTGTGAAATTTTTCTATGATTACATCACTAAAAAAACAAGTTCAATGTTCATTATTGAATTAGGTGTCAAAGAACAGTATATTTATTCGTTGAATAAGTCTTAGGTATCACACATATGATCATGTTTAATTCTGAAATTTTCATCAGAATTCCAATGTTTTTTTCATTTGAATTGTTCATTATCTTGAAAATGTTTGTACATATTGTAGTTCGAAATGTTCAAATGTTCCTTGAGTTCTTCTAATATTTATCTGTTTTTGGAGGTTTGTGTTGTTACACATTTGAAATCATCAATTAATCATTGTTAGACTGCCACCATTAGAAACCTGGATGCACTGGACGGCCGCTTTGTCCTGGTATGGGACTCATCAGCGGCAGTGCGCATCCACGACTCCTGCACCTCACAGGATTCGAACCCAGGATCTTCGGTATTGTGCGCGGATGTCTAACCATTGGACCACTGGACCGGCATCCAACGGTGTTAATGTCTAACTCTGATTGATCTACGGATTTTGCGCGACCTTATACATTTGTCTTTGGTAGTTACTGCCTACACCCGACAGGGTCGAACTCCATTGGTCACGTCTTCTCAACTAGAACTCCGAGAATTTCCTCACGAAGCTAGTCACTAGTGAGCACTGTTACGATATTTTCGAACAGAGTTTTGGACGAAACGGTCGTTCAGTGCTTCCAGTTTTCTAATGGTAGTCTAACAATGATTGATTGATGATTTCAAATTTATCTGTTTATTTTCTCATCAGCACAGCTGTATACTAAGTGCCTATCGATTCTTATATAATCTTATTCTAGTTGACATGATTTCAATATAATTTTCCACACTTATTGGCTAGACCCACGAGGTTTTTCGGTATCTGTATAAGTGTGTAACAGAATTGAATTGTGTAACTCAGGCTGTTTTTAGTTATGAATAATGTCTGATTAGTCTGAAAATTCAAGTGAAAAGTAGCCTCTTGTTGTATATATTTATAAGTATATTAGTTGTGTTGAATACTTATTCATGGTTTAAAGATAACACAGCTTATTTTTCACAGTATTGTGGCAATTTCTGAATTGAGATTAGCTCTGAGATATAACTCTCAGAGTATTAGTAAGACGCTGTGAACATCACAATGCGGGCATCTCCGGAGTGAAATAAATATCTCAAAATGAAATCGATGATGAAGCTTGAAAGTCTTTGAGGTCTTAACATGTTTGTTGGCTGTACAACACCTCCACACCAGGACGACAACTTTTGTTCAGTATTCTCTGATTTGCTATGCTTATCACGACCATAATTAATCTGTGATGTGCGAATTCACATTGAACTATCTTCACATAGTTCCATCATAACCAATGAATATTAATATTGTTTTCAGTTAGATCGTCATTAGGCTTTATACTCTCGATTATATATGAATATTTATGATGAAATAGATTACGTCACTTTACACATAATAGACAAAAGTACAAAAGTTGATAGTAGGAAAACAGGTGTACTGACAGTAGTGGTAAGAAAAATATTAATACGATTACCAAAGGTTTCTTCTATGACTAGTAGGTCAAACGTCGATAAATAGACTTCAGATAATCATTACAAAACATTGAAACCATTACACAATAATAAGAAGTGTGTACATAATGAGATATTGAAGACTATACTAACCGAAAGAGGCAGAAAATTACCAACAAATACAGCATGTGAAAATAATAATGCTAATAATAATAACAAAATAAAATTTTAAACCAAAAAGTGGCTTGATTGGTGTAACATTTTCATCATAAATATTCATCATGTATATTAGAGAGTATAAAGCCTGTTGACGATCTAATCGAAAACAATAATATTGTTCGGCTTATATCTGTATTGTTCTAATTTACACAATGGGAATCTTTAATATTTATATATTGGTTTGAGTAATTTTTTCTCGGGTAAACATTTTCTGAGTGAGTTAGTTTTCTAACCCAACGCTCAAACCCCCTCCTTTATCCGGGCTTAGTGTCGGCAGTAGCCCCAGAGGGGCCTTAGACGGAGATGGTGAGAATAATCTAATTAATTTATATTTAAAAGAGTTAAGCCTGTAAAGTTGTTATGTTCGCCACTAGGTATGTTTGAAGCTATCACGAGTTCACCTTGGTCGATAAACGCGAACAAGACAATGAACCAGCGTCCAGATAGGCTACCTTTAATCCCAAGCTGTAAACAGAATGCTTTGTAAGCGTAGAAAGTATATTCTACAAACACCCAGCAATCACAATACAATCAAGCACACAACTCTCATTTATTTATACATCATAGAAACGTCCTTGGGACAGTTAAGAAAATAGCACACTAAAATACACAGCAGCCAATCACAGCCACTGATTTTCCTGATGGGAAATGAAATCTCAAGGTCAATCAGTTGATCAGCCCATGCTCGCAAACAAGAAATCCGAGATAAGGCATTTATCAAGCGAGTTCTGGGGATCTAACATCCCCAACAAAAGCTCAAACAATACCTGAAAATCTATAGTTAAGCACATAAAATAGTATGCTGTTTAATTAAACAACGGAAACTGAAGTCACCGGGACAGTACACTATTGATGGCAGGACTTTTTCAAACGTCCAATTTCAGTATATGCTTACTGATGGTAACAGTTTCAATTCAAAGTAAGAAGACCAATCAATACTTGCTTATTGATTAATTTGAAGGTAGATAAAATGTCAGTGCTGTGTGTGCTACCAACAAGCTGATGAGCAATTACATTATTTAACCTATTCTATCGTCTCACGTTCATTGTTTTTTAAAGCATTCATTTCTGTTGTTTCTGTGTCCATGAACCTGGATCTTTAATTGATAAATACAATTTGAGATAAAAACAAACGAATATAAGTTTACATTTGGCCATCTCTCTGAAAAGTTTTGGGTATAGTGAGAATTGTTTAACAACGGGTGGAGGATTTTATTTCGATTTAAACTATAGTCTTCCATCAATTGTGCTAACTTTTTAGACGTCTATGAAACGAACTCGTACAAAAACAATTTTTTTCATCTTCAGCAGGTTTCATCCTCTTTGTTTTTGCATCTGCCAATTGTGAATGGTCGAAAATTCGGGAGTACAAAATACATTAGGATCTAAATCTCTCAGAATCTTGAGTTGGATTTTGTAAATGATGTCAAAAGATGAGAATGAAACTGAATTTCCTAGATTCAAAACATTTAGAATGAATAACATACGCGACCTATTTTATCCCTAGTTAAATCTCACTATTAGATGCTCCCAAATAAGCCAAGAAATTGGCGTAAACCATTGACCTATATACTTAGTTCCAAAGGAACCGGTGAGATGGTTCATAAGACAGTGGCTGGTAAATATATGGGTGATTATACTATACCATTCGAATTTATCTCTTCAGACAGTCTTTCAGCATACCATCTCATGAATTGAGAGTTCAAAAACAGTGTTGTAATATTCGGAGGAAGATAAAGTTATGGGAACTTGGGGAACCACTTTTGACTCATTCATGTATAATTTTTATTTTCCATTTACGAGCGTGATAGAGTCCAGTTTTGTAAGAATCTAAAGGGATGCCCGAATTATAATGACAATCCTATCTTGATCCTGGTCTGTTGGTCATTAGTCTTGTGTCCTACTTCTGCGATCGGGGCTAGTTGGTATTGGGCCGAAAGTCAGACACACAGTAACAGTTCCATCCTTCTTGTCGCAGATTGGTTACTGAAAGATTGTCTCGGTTTATTAATCAGATTATAGGACAAAACAGTGTTCCTTTACGAACGATTCGACGTTAAATGTCGAATAGATGTCTCTAAGGTTAATGAAAGCCTTATAACAAAACCAACTAGTTGAGATAATACAACAGACCCTCATATCTCTAAACACTACCTAAAGGAACTGCTACTCTACTGTACATCCTATGGACAAACAGACAACCTTGCAATGGGATATTCATTGGTTTATCATTTAAAAGGCGATCTTGTAGAAAATCTGGAGAGCAGTTTCGAAAAATTTCATCTAACCTCCATTGTTCCGAAGAAAGGTTTACACGTGAATATTCAATCGAAAAGTGATACAGAAGCAGTGATATTGTAGAACGATACCTCATTCAGGAAAGTGTCATTGTTGAACTGTCATCTTACTGTGTATTTATCGGTCAACTCGTTCAGCAATCAAAGTCACACTAACTGGCTTAGAAAAGATTTATTTATATTAGAAATAAATATGAGTTTAGTGGAATCGTCAGCAATTCAATAATTCAAACCAGATGTCTGTTTACATAACAGTCATGTTCAATCCCTGATTCTACTATGATCAGTGTCGAATATTATTTTATCCCTTAGCATAAATTTATTCGTAATAATCTTCCTCATTTCTTGTAAAGTTTATTGTTTATGATTAGCTCTAAAACGATGACATAACTCAT